ATTACTACAAAGTATCCCGTTTAATAGTAACACTACAAAGTATCCTGTTTAATAATAACACTACAAAGTATCCTGTTTAATAGTAACACTACAAAGTATCCTGTTTAATAATAACACTACAAAGTATCCTGTTTAATAGTAACACTACAAAGTATCCTGTTTAATAGTAACACTACAAAGTAGTTTTATTTCCATATTTCCCGAGTTCATACTTAAATTAGAAAAGGGTGAAATTAAATAAAACTTAAAAAGTCAACATTAACAGTGGTTAAATATTTAAAGTTTAAACCTGAATAATTTGTTTTTGCTGAATTAACATACCAAACTTGTTCCTTGAGTTGAAGAACAAGAAAAGGTTGGAATGCATTGCAATGTAGTTTTGTTTAATCATTTTTATGTATAGATTTATATTATCTTAGATCTTTTAGTAACATAATTGTTTTTGAAACTGTAGGTAGTAGATCTTGAAAAACTTAGGAAGAGGTCAGAAAGATTTGGTCAGTCAGTATCAGCAGCAGTGAAACAAGTAAGTGTGGTTTTGTACATCCATGCCATAAAATTAATTTACGATTAAATTCATCTTTCTCTGTACTATGTGTATCTGACAAACTTAAAAATAAATGTGGTATTAATGTTCTGTTTTTTTTATTTCCTTTGTCAATGTCAGCAATATTTTGTTGTTAATTTACAGTGCAATCTGCACCACACTGATAATTATTTGAGCATTTGTTAGATAAACATTTAAATGGATTTTTTTTTTTTTTACAGTATTAGAAATTTAATGTTCAGTATTCTTCTCCCAGCACATAGTGTTCTTGATGTTGACTTCTTTTCTCTGAGTTTTTTCTTCTTTTTTTTCGGTCTTGTTAACTATGGTTTTGACCACCTTTTTAATTTCTGGACAGATTGAAGAAAGAGAAAAGGTACTGAAAAGAAAACAAAGGTTTGGAAGTAGTATTTCAACAGCATCCATTGGTAGTGAAGAGGTCAGTTATTTTTAATAAATTTTGTTTTAAAGGTTCCTTTTTTTTATCAAAGGCTGTAAATATCTTCAGAAGTTGCAACATTTGTGACTATCAGTTTATTTGTATACACGGTAAACCGTCAATTTGTTTGAAACCTGATAAAATGTCACATAACATTAGAAGCTGCTTTGTAGATGAAATATTTTTTTAGTTATGGTTGTATGAAGAGTATTATTTTAGAACCAGATTTCTCCTACACCAATACGTTAAAAGGTAACTTTAAACTCTTCATAGTGTTTACCAACAAATCATCATGAACCTTCTAGTATAAGAAAGACCACAGATGCAGTGAGTATCACGAACCTTGTAGTGGTTCATTCCATGCAAACGTTTACAGCTGCAGTCAGTATCAAGGACCTTGTAGTGGTTCATTCCATGCAAACGTTTACAGCTGCAGTCAGTATCAAGGACCTTGTAGTGGTTCATTCCATACAGAAAGCCACAGCTGCAGTCAGTATGATGAATCTTGTAGTGGTTCATTCCATACAGAAGGCCACAGCTGCAGTCAGTATGATGAATCTTGTAGTGGTTCATTATATACAGAAGGCCACAGCTGCAGTCAGTATGATGAATCTTGTAGTGGTTCATTATATACAGAAGGCCACAGCTGCAGTCAGTATCACGAATTTTGTAGTGGTTCATTATATACAGAAGGACACAGCTGCAGTCAGTATCAAGGACCTTGTAGTGGTTCATTCCATACAGAAAGCCGTAGCTGCAGTCAGTGTATGAATCTTGTAGTGGTTCATTATATACAGAAGGCCACAGCTGCAGTCAGTATGATGAATCTTGTAGTGGTTCATTATATACAGAAGGCCACAGCTGCAGTCAGTATCAAGACCTTGTAGTGGTTCATTATATACAGAAGGCCACAGCTGCAGTCAGTATCAAGGACCTTGTTGTGGTTCATTATATACAGAAGGCCACAGCTGCAGTCAGTAGCTGCAGCTAATTTAGAGTAAATCTCATCACCAACTTGAGGTGGTTATGTATAGCAGTCTGTAAACAAATTTTATTTGATGATGTTTTAATGCTCCCTTATTTTTTGAATTTCCACTTTTGGTATAATTTACTAATATCAATTATAATAGGCTTGGAAAGATTAACTGTGATTTTATTGATAATTGTCACTGTTACACCTGCTATACACGAAGTATCTATTTTGAATGTTTTTTGTTTCTTAGTGTCAATCATAATATTTTACTACTTGTCACATTACCAATATTTCTTGTTTTTGTTAAAATTAATGTATAAACTAAGAACTACGTGTTTGTATTTCATTTAGTTACAAGAAAAAAAGGTCAAATTTTTCTTAAAAACACGTATGCACACACAGAGGAACTAATCGTAGATTTTACTTAAATATTATCATTGAATCGTGAAATAAGTTAATCATAAACTGTTAATGAGTGATCAGTAACTTATAAAGTATAGATAAAAGTCAGTTATATTCTGTAATTGTTTATTAGTGCAAAAAAGGTAACCAAGTTAGAAAATAAGGAAGAGTTAAAATGCATCAAAGCTGTGATATCAAAATAAAGTTAGGTTTTGGATCGTCTCACTGGACCGGGTGTTCTGTACACCGTCTTAAAACACGTATTTAAAGGAATACAAGGTCAGGTAGACAATCCAAATTTTATTTGACATTTCATTTTGATGTCAAAACTTTCATCTGTTTTTACTTCTGCTTATTTTATAACTTCATCACCTATTTTTTATTTATCATCACTGTCTACTGATGTCACATACCTTTACTTTTTTACTTCAGCATTTAATCAAAACCTGACCGCTCCCTCTTTGCCTTCGTAGGCTATCATTTATGTACATCAGCTTTTCTGTTTTAATTGTAGTGTAGACGGTAGGGGGGAGTTAAAATTGTACATTTAATTAAATAAACAAGAGGGAATCCTCAATAGCTGCAGCTGTAATTAGATCTCAAATTGGTCAAGAGATGGAGCTATGAGCTAAAAGTTTGTACTTAAAAAAACAGAAAAACTCGGAGCCATTCTGTGAGCCTGTGCCACGGCTGAAACGTTTATGACCTTGATACTGAACATACAAAACCTATCCTTGCCTCAGACCACTAGGTATCTAATGCCAGTTTGAGTATAGCATGTTTGGTATGAACTGTAGCTGAATTGGAAAAAGTGTGTGTGGAAAACAGATAATAATAGTAAAGAAGAACACAATATTGTGTGTAACAGTTAGTGAAAATCCACAGTAAATGGAACAAACTTTCAATGGTTTATTATAAATTGCCATCTGACAGCAAGGAAAACATTTTTTTCCCAGAAGTCAAAGAAGACTGACCACTTATAATATGAAACTATTCTTTGACAGATAGTTTAGGCAGAGTATTCATGTTGAACTGATGGTGACAACTGGCTATTAGAGAGACAATTATATAAATATATTGGTAGAGGATGAGCTGCATAAGTATATTGTGTCATCACCAATACATCTCTACAAGTGTTTTCCTATTAGGCAGTTGCCACACACTTCACAGTCAACTAAATATGAAATCACTTTATATTGGCTGAAATAAGGTTAAGGAATAATAACCTTTTCTTCATATGAGATATTCTGGCCATGAAATTGATTGGAAATCAATAAGAATTTTATAAAAACTAGTAACTACATAAAAAATAAGGTTGGCTGAAAGCTGCTTAATCAAAAGCCTACTTCATTTCATCATTTTCTAAGGTCGTATCAAACTAATCAGCTGTCTGACCTCCTGTGTCCTTTAAGGTAATTCAAAGTAGGTGTTCAAATTCGATGATGAGGAACCCACTTTGAGACTAATAATGGCTGGAGACGGCTTGAAT